GTTTACCTACCCACGTGTCGCTTGCAATACATCAACTTTAATCCTATCCGCGGGTCGTCCAGATCAGTCATTCAGCCGATAACAATGCCCGAGGAAGAACCATCGCTCAACATCCCGTCGCTGCTCACTTTAGCAGTCGTTTCTTTCTTCGTTATCAGATGGTTCCTTAAACGCGACGGCAGTCCCGATGCAGGCGGCCCCCCCGCCCGTGGCCGCGGGAACATCGTCGACCCAGCCCAGGTGGAACAAATAGCTCAAATGTTTCCTCAGCTCAGCACTCGCGAGATCATGTGGGACTTGCAGCGCAATGGCGGGAATGTGGCAGCGACTACGGAGCGAATCCTCAGTGGACGTGGACTGGATATGGTACGTACCGGCAGTTCCCCTATATGTCTATCACCGGCGGAATGCAGGCGATGCGCCCCGCGGACCCGTTTCGATTCCTATTGAAGCGACTGATACTAATGAGATGGTGTGTATAGCCACCACCCTCGTTCCAGCCTACGATCGTTCTACCCTCTACTACTGCCGCTCCGGCAGCTGCGCAGCCCTCGTCAACGTCCGGGGCTTCCCTCAAGACTGACGGCCAAGATCTAATTTCCCGATATAACCTCAGCTCGAAAATCAACGGTAATGCCGATGCTACCAGTGATCGATCATCGCAGAAATCGACGAGCGGGTGGTCGCAGAGCAAAGAGGAGCGACAGCGCTTGTTGCAGAAGCGGAGAGACGACATGATTTTGGCAGCCCGGAGGAGGATGGAGCAGAAGCAGCGGCAGGCTGACAATGCGTCAACTTGAGAGGGATCGTGAAAAGATTTCATAATCTTCATTTCGCATTTGTAAGGATACTTTTTCGTTGTTCTCTGCTCATTCTTATGCGAGTGGGACATTATACCATTTCTTTTTACTTTTCCATTCAGCCAAGTTGGGACCTATAGGTTCAATACAGGCAGTTTCTTGTGAACAATTTGTCCGTGTCTCTGCAGTCTGAGCGTGCATTTTGATGGTGTTTGTCGGTGGCAGATTATTTGCAATTGCTTGGAAAATATAGGGTATATATACATTTGAAACTCGTTCAATCGCAATAGCTTGCGCCGTGTGTGTCCTTTCCATAACTCCATAATGCAAGAAAAAGCGAACCAGAGAAAGGGCTTTAGAACTCCATCTCGTCTTCATCGTCCTGGGTGGCATCATATCCCCCATTGGCCATCTCTTCCGCCATCTGCTCCCGTCGGGCTTGTTCTTTCGACGCACCAATCTTCCTAGACATGGTGTCAGTTGATTACTGTCTCCCCAAAACCAATTAGTGTGACCACCGTACCTAAGTCCATCTACCACCCCCGTCACGAAACCTCTTGACTCACCAATCTCCATCGCCCCAACACCCGTTAGAGCCACTCCACCTCCGCCGGTGGCAGCAGCATCCAAAACGTCCACACCAGAGCGTATCTTCGCCATACGCACCTCACGCAGCTCCTTCAGCAACCGCCGTATTTGGTCTGGATCCACCAGATCGTCACTCGCCGCGTCGAGAAGCATATTGCCCACCTCTAACCAATGGTACGGTAATGACGGAGGCTCGCCGGACTGTGTATTGTCCTGCGCGATGTTCTGCGGTAAGAATGGCGGCGAAGGAAAGTATCGCTGGCCATCCGGCGTATGACGCGCCTTGGCTATGGGTCTCTGTCCACGGTTACGGTCGCGGACGCTCGGCTGCCCGGGCAGCGGGGGAGGCGGGGAAAATGCATTCTCGTATTCGTGATGTTGCGTTTCGATCTCTAGAATCAGGGAGAGGGGCTCGGGGTGAAGCCATGCGGGGGGGAGGATGTTTGCGCGGCGCTGGCGTTTGAGGAGGAGGGCTAGCCACAGTGGGAGGGAGGCGCGGCGGGGAGGTAGGAGTGGTTCGACTTGACCCTGGTTGGAGGTATGATTGTTAATTCATGAATTCAGCCATGCTTGCTGAATTGATGCTGCTGTCTGGTGTGTGATTGTACCGAGTCCATGTCGCGCAATGCCGCGACATGGATCTCCCCGCACACGCGACATATCCAAGAAGATAGCAATCTCGACGGCGCATAGCAGCAACGCAGTCGGCCCGGCGACTTACACCTAGCAATTCGAGGCCCTCCAATCGTTGACGAGGGAGAATCGTCACCATCTCCATCTCCGCTAGAAAAGCAATCTCCGGGGGTGTGATGCCCCGCGGAAGAGGGAAGGCCATTGAGCCTCAGGTTTTGGGGACCCGGGAGAATTTGGACGGATGACTATTGATGGGCAGGTCCCTCTGAGAGCGAATTATCGCATCGAGTCTCTTTGAAATTAGAGAAATGTAATCATCCAGTGATGCATATGCTTTGGCTCTTTCATCGTCCGTTTTCGGAAATTGTCAAGGTGATGTTTGACTCGTTTGCAACTGTATTATTTACTAGAGCTTGGATAGCTTAAGCTCCATCCACGGAGATCAATTACTTCGCTTTCTCTCCTTCGTTCGCTTCATACTAGCGACATTGATTCGCTTGTCTCATATGAGATATAGACAATATGAGTGCTGTGCGGCCTGTATCAGGCATCTCTCTAGCTGCTCGATATGCGGTTCCTTTTGTGCTCCTGCTGATCCCGCTATGGATGGCCAAGGTGAACACCGTCGTTCCGGATCCGTACCTCGACGAGGTTTTCCACGTCCCTCAGGCACAGGCGTACTGGGATCATAAGTGGTTCCATTGGGACCCTAAAATCACGACTCCGCCAGGACTTTACATATGGTCTTACGTCCTTTGTGCTGCTGCGCTAGCACTCCGTGGCTCCCCGAAGGAGCTCAACGCTGAAGCCCTCCGTGCTACCAATGTTGCAGCTGCAGCGGTCTTTCTTCCCTGGCGGCTGCAGACTCTTTTGGATGCATTGCGTAAGGTGCGCAATACGCGCCCTTCTGGAGCTTGGCTGAGCCATACGGTGCTGAATATTTGCCTTTTCCCGCCACTGTTCTTCTTCTCGGGGCTCTATTACACGGATGTTGTCTCCCTCCTTGTGGTCATTGAAGCCTATAATTGGGATATCAAACGTTCCGCGGGATCTGGATCACTCCTCAAGACGGCAGTTTTTGTTGCGATTGGATTGGCCGCTCTTGTTCTCCGGCAAACGAACATCTTCTGGGTGGCCATCTTTCTTGGGGGGCTGCAGGTGGCTCGGAAACTTCGTCAGTCCTCGAAGGCCAGCCAGGCCTCAAGCCCGCTTCAAATCATCCAGAGCGGTTTCAACAACGAACTGTACGACCCGCTTGTGTCAGAGGCTTCCTTCTTTGGTGAGTGTCTTGCCTGGCCACCTGGATGACGCATACTCACTGAGATGAAATTCAGACTATGTCAAGACATCAATGTCGCTTGCTTCAGTTGGTCTGAGGAACGTCGTCCCGATAATAGTCTCAGCGGTTCCCTATCTCGTCATCCTTGCAGCCTTTGGCGGATTTGTGCTCTGGAACAACGGAGTTGTCCTGGGTAAGTCTTGTAGGCCAGGGTTTGTGGATGTGTAACTGATGATGTGCTAGGACATAAAGAGTTTCACGCAGCAGGTCTACATCTCTCGCAAATGCTCTATATCTGGCCTTATTTCTTGTTCTTCTCTTGGCCCATCCTGATTGTCCCAGTCATCAATCTGGTGCTTCCAAACTCTGTGATACCGGCATTCTTTGACTATGGATTTACGAAAAAGCAAAAGGGGCTTCCCAGAATATTGACGGCCCTGGTCATTATTCCCATCATGCTGGCCGTGGTCCATTTCAACACCATCGTCCATCCATTCACTCTTGCCGATAACCGTCATTATATCTTCTACGTCTTTCGTATTCTGCGCTCACATCCAGCTATCAAATATGCTGCTGTTCCTGCTGCCTACTTCATTGATGGCTGGGCTGTGATTTCTGCATTTGGATTCTCCACCACCAAGCCACAGCCTCAATTTGTGCCGATCACGAAGCCAAATGAACTGGCTGCTGCTCAGAAAGGGCAGTTGAAGGAGGCTTCCCGCAAGAAAGAGAAGTCTGAACGCAAGTCCAAGTCGAAAAAAGCCAGCCAAGTGACGACCTCGCCGCCCGCCCAAGAACAATTTTCTCCCGAGGTTCTTGCGCGAATCCAGGAGCACCTCGCTCAGCGTCAGAAACAACAGCAGGAAGCCCCACGAGTGAGCTTTGTGCTCGTCTGGCTTGCAGCCACGGCACTATCGCTCGTTACCGCGCCGCTCGTTGAACCACGTTATTTTATCATTCCTTGGGTAATGTGGCGACTTCATCTACCCCCACAGCCCGTGCCTCTTGTGTACCGTCAACAGCGGCCTCGTGATGAGCGGGAGGCTCTGCACGCCGATCTGGCAACTAATTTCTCCTTGTTCATGGAGACGTACTGGTTCTTGGCCATCAACGCTGCCACCGGGTATATCTTTTTGTACAAGGGTTTTGAATGGCCACAAGAACCGGGGAAGGTTCAGAGGTTCATGTGGTGAATCCCAACTGCTTTCTTTTATATCATTCTCAATTGTGTTAGTACCAGTCATTTGTATATCACTAGATGGTCTTGTATATAGACTCGAATAGAAGGGTCTTTGTAATATAGATTAAAATATTAAAAGATTTTCCCATGAAGTTGAATCTCCTCGAGAATGACCTTGAATAGTTTATATATCGGACTGGGACTGCGATTGCGGCGATATGACATTGTGTCAACTGCAGCGGATTATGTTGACTCAGTTACCAGAAGTGGTTGTCCCCATTCCATTCCAGCTCTTACATCCGTTCTGTTCATCAACTACATATTTGCACACTGCATCTGCACCAAAGATCTCAATCTAATTCGACAGTTGATGGTAAGTCGACGGACCAGCTTGTTATCTTGTGTGAAGTACATTTTGCATGCCGTACAGCCATCCTCATCCATCACACTCCGCCCACCTCAACTTTGGCTTCGAACTAGGAAGTCAACCAGACACTTTTCACCTATCACCTACTACGCGATGGAACAAGAAGATCGACCGTCCAAGAGGGTCAAATTATCAGCTATTGATCAGCCAGAGCCCACTGAAGCAACCCCGACGACCATAGCAAATGGCTTGGCATCCTTGCACAGATCCGTCACTCCTCCTCCATCATCACGGCCTCGTAGGGAATCATCCGTGCCTCAAACCTCTATTCAACCCGCAGAGTTGACTAGTCGTCGACCGCAGTTGATTCCATCTCCTATCCAGCTCACTCATATCCGAGACCTTTCTGCTGCCTCAGGCAACAATGTCGATACAGTTCGGTTGAAAGATATCCTTGGGGATCCCATGATCCGAGAATGCTGGCAGTTCAATTTCCTGTTTGACGTGGACTTTCTGATGAGTCAGTTCGACGAGGACGTGAGACGCCTGGTGCAGGTCAAGGTTGTCCATGGATCATGGAAAAAGGAGGCTCCGAATCGGATTCGGATTGAGGTAGGCGTCTCCTTTTATCTTGCAAGAGTATCTAGTCTCTGTGATGAGGATGTTTACCAAAGTAGGAAGCATGCCCTCGATATCCGAATGTTGAGGCGATAACTGCCTACATGCCCGAACCGTTTGGCACACATCATTCGAAGATGATGATCCTCCTTCGTCATGACGATCTTGCGCAGTATGTGATATACCTATGGAGTGGCCTGCTTTTACCTTTACTGACTGAGCAGGGTTGTCATTCATACGGCTAATATGATACCTGGCGACTGGGCAAATATGTGCCAGGCCGTCTGGCGGTCTCCCCTTCTCCCGCTGCGAAAGACTGAAAGGGAACCGGAGGGGCCTGGAGCCATCGGCAGCGGGGCGAGATTCAAACGGGATCTCCTCGCCTATCTAAGCGAATACGGCGTCAGGAAAACAGGACCGCTGGTCAGACAACTCGAGCGCTTCGACTTCAGCGCAGTTCGCGCCGCTTTGATCGCAAGCGTCCCTTCTAAGCAGAGGCTCAGCTCTCTGGATTCGAGGAAAAAGACGCTCTGGGGATGGCCAGCTTTGAAAGAGGCTACTCAACAGATACCTCTGACGCCGAAGGGGAAAAGCCAAACTGTGCCGTCGCATATTGTCGCCCAGGTAGGACCGGCTCCGTCTTTATATGATCAAGCTCTAACAACCGTAGATCTCATCGATAGCTTCACTCGGACAGACAGACAAATGGCTCAAAGACGTCTTCTTCGCTTCACTTGCACCCACATCCATGGCGAGTACCTCCCAACCGAAATACTCCGTCATCTTCCCTACTCCCGACGAGATCCGCCGATCTCTAAACGGCTATGGGTCCGGCGGATCAATCCACATGAAACTGCAAAGCGCCACACAGCAGAAACAACTTCAATACATGCGGCCATATCTGCGCCACTGGGCGGGAGACAGTAATAGCAACTCGACCAGTATCCCTCAACGGGAAGCTGGCCGCCGCCGCGCGGCACCCCATATTAAAACGTACATTCGCTTCTCGGACGGAGAGAAGATGGACACGATCGACTGGGCGATGGTGACGTCCGCCAACCTGTCTACTCAGGCGTGGGGAGCAGCCGTCAACAACGTGGGGGAAGTGAGGATCAGCAGCTGGGAGATTGGCGTGATGGTGTGGCCGCAGCTTTTTGTTCAAGGAGATAATACCACCGAGCGACCCCAGCAAGCGGTTATGGTCCCGTGCTTCAAACGCGACATTCCGCTGCAGCTCCCGGAGGATATGCCAGGATGTGATGTCCTCGTCGGGCTCCGGATGCCATACGATCTTCCCTTGACCTCGTACAAGACCGACGAAGTCCCTTGGTGCGCTACAGCTGCCCACACCGAACCAGACTGGTTGGGACAGACATGGGAGGGGTGACTCTACGTCTATAGCCTACAGTGTAGACCATAGAAACAACAACCAAGCTCATATAATTGCGTAACTGGATTCATTCTTATACTCCATACGTAGCGTATATCCTCCCACCACATCCACAACCACACCGTGCAATCTACGCACGGGTGCCGTACTTGTTAATCAAATCGTTCACCTGCTTGATATACAGCGCCTGCGCCTTCTGCGCACTGATGTGGCTAACCTCCTTCCAGGCATTATACTTGAACTTGGCCTGTGCATACATTAGCCTCCCGCACCTTCGTCCCTGATCCACCGCAGTAAAATTGAACAAACATACCTCCATCTGATAAAACGACGGCTCAGCAGGCTTCTCGCCCCTCGCCTGCTTGAAGTACTTGTACAGCTAAGAACCATCAGCACCGCGTTCACTCTGTTATTTTATACCAGGGTGCAGGGGAGGCCATACCCCCAACTTCTCCTCCGGCCCGGGCTCCTTCTCAAGCATCTTAACCAGTTCCGTCGCGAACTCGAAACCAGCCTTCAGGACGGCATCGTTCCCGGCTGCGGTTGCGTCGTCGCCGGCTGCGAGGACAGCGTCGAGGGCAGCCTGCAGAGCGGCCTTGTCGATGGAGGCGGCGGACGACTGCAGGGCGGGGGTGAATTTCTCCTTGGAGGCGGCGGCGTCGAAGGCAGTGAAGAAGTCGGTGAGGGAGGCCATTTTGTTCCTTTCTGTTTGTTTCCGTTGAGCTGATGAAATAGATTGGATAGAGTGGTATGTTGTAGGTACTTGGATTAGGAGTGAAGTGGTGAGGGGTGAAAATAGCGGAGGTGGGATGGATGGTGGGGTTGATTAGCTGAATCCGTTGGGGCAGTAGGGAGTAAATAAACAGACTCTTACAGACTCAGACTGTGCTACGTCAGAACTCGGCAACTTCTGTGGTTTGACAAGCTTATTATTCTAAAGTACAACTACATACCGCGGTGTGTAGGCCCGGAAACAGAGAAGGAAAAAGTCAAGACACGGAAAGGTATACCGTGTTAATGTGCTCCATTATTCTTGAGGATCAAACTCCAAAATACTTGATTAGAGCCCTGGCTCCATCCTGAAAATTGGTCCGAAGAAAGCCTTGTCACATCCGACCAAGTTCGTTTCTGGTCCCTTCTCAACCTCAGTAGAAGGTTTACCTCTTCAGATGACCACAGCATGTGTTTCCGGGGGGTTCCTATAAAGTTCCATGGAATCAGCTGGCTGATCCCAGCAATGTGCCAGCTGTGCAATGCGTTCAGGTGCTTTTGGGTCGGATTCGGATACACAGCGTGTGGGAGTGCACCTTCAAACAAGCATTCATCAACTGATACAGGCATGAAAAGCTCCTCAGGTATACAGACAGATTTCAAGGTCCTACAGCGAAGATGCCTCATATGTTGTGCATATAAGACGGCTCTTCTCAAGGACTAGACCTTTCAAAAGGACTGACAGATCATCATCCTTCTTGCAGACTTTGGAGAAATATATCTCCTGACTCTCTTGGTAATCTAGCTCATCAAGGGAAGTTATTAGTGGTTGCGATGGTGCTGCTCGTCCGTCGCTGAGACATGATAATAGGTTATTGGGAATACACATAGCTTCCCCATGTCCCCATCATGTCATGTGAACGTCTTCCGCGCGGTTGCTCGTATGAAGTCTTTGAAAAAGGGCATCATTTAAGTGCTCGCTTTGAGGACAATTGTCAAGCAGACGGGCCTGAGAGTCGTTTCGGAATCTTTTGGAGTGACCAGCAGCATGCAGAAACAAACTCCCCCAAAGGTTTCTTTTTGTAGGATAATCAGCGTTTACAATTGATAGCTATAAACTACTACGCAGAAAATTGAGTAAGTGTTAAGGTCCTGCAAGTGAGACTAACTTAAGAGGCTTTAGCACCGCCAACATCTAATTAACATTATCAATCCGCTTCCTTCTTGAGGATTATACTCCAGTATACCTGAATCGCGCCTGGCCTTCTCCTTAGATATTGCTCTAAGAATAGCCTTACCACATATGACCAAGATTAATTCCCCTCTTTTTCTCAGCTTCAGCAAAAATGTCCGCCTCTTTCAGAGACCATCTCCTGCCCTTCCCGGCACTTCATTGGACCTTCCAGCTAGCTCGCTATAATTGTTTGATCACACCCGGGAGGATAAAGCAACCAGTGCGAGATGGCTTCCCTTTAACCTCAACCGCTTGGGCGGCCTTCAGAAGACCATCGCTTTTAAATTCTCGAGCTTTTATCTGCTAGTAAAGATCAATCAAGAGCGCAATGCGGTCTTCTGACGAAGTATTTCCCCCAACCGCCTATCCACGACTCACAACTTTCGCTTTAAGGGCCGAATAACTGAGTTCCACGCGGTCGATCCAGTCGCGAAGGGAAGTCTCGAGTTCACAAAGGTCTCTTTTACGTTACGCCAAACGGGCCACGGGGCTCTGGAGCCCAAAGTCCAAGCGGCGTGTCCGTCAATATGTAAACGGAACAGTCGTTTCTCGAGCGTGGCCAGCAGATGGCCAAGGTACGTCTTGATCTATTTGTAAAGTTTCTGTTCCTTGCACAGTAGCGGATCACCTTTATATCCAGAACCTCGTAGGAGGTTATCCTTTTTGGCTGCAGAATTTACAGCCCGAGGTCAATGCAGTGGGAGCCATGCTTGAGATGTCGACACAAAGCTAGTGTTCTTCTCTTCCTTGGTGAAAAGGAGAGATGAATGGAGAGAAGAAGCAGACAGAAAAGGGGAGGGTGTTTGGTGAGGATTCTGTGGCGCATGGATAGATAGACGGAGATGTGAGTACGCAGGGTTTGGAAAGCATGAAAAGGAGTAAGGTATTCCAGCATCTGCTTAGGTCAGTGAGCTCTTGTTATGTCCTCGAGACCGACCTGCCACTCAATGAGAAGGATCACAAGATGGTTTTTCGTTATTCTGTTAGCTAATATCTCGGTCAAGGTTCATTCAATGTGATCTGTTCCTCCCGTACAGTGACGCTCGAGTAAGCCAACCCTGGCAGGAAGACTATTTTCTTTGGCCAAAGAAATGGCGCGTTGAACCACGTTTCTGTCTGGCGGGAACTTACAGTCCTCGCATTCAGCAGCATGCACACTATGTCTAGACGGCTGTGCTGAGCGGCCCCTTTGATAGGCAAGGCGGGAGCATTTGCACCCACGCGCCCCTTGCAGAAGAAGTACTGTAGACCCTTTTGGCACCTTAGGAGACAACAAACGTTGGCTTGGAAGAGAACCGACTATGGAGCGGTATAAAAGATGGCTACGCCTGTTCTCAAAGTGGTCGACCATTCGCTCAAAGGTTTTTGATGAAAGTCGCGGACCTCCGCCCACTTCTGATATTCACCAAGCCATTTACAGGATTCTTTGAAAAGCCTAGACTAGTAGTTATTAGGAGATGCATGTGAATATGTCAGTTGATATGTTAAGCATACAGAACGTAGACATGCGCATTATGCCAAGTCATCTCATCACATGAAAGAAGTGACCATGGGGAAAGTAATCCAAACATTATGCCAAATTTCACAAAATCATCCATGCACCGTGCAGAGCGCGTGCCATCCAGACCAAGACGCCTTTCGATGCAGAAGAGAAAGGAAGAGGAAGGAAAAGAGCAGGGTATTCCGCTGGCAACTCATAGAATACATCGTAAGAAGTGAAACAAAAAAAATCACACCAGTATATCCATGATCTACCAGTCCACAGCCCAACCGTTCTTGTTGAGAAACTCCTCACACGCAGCTTTCAGCGCATAGTTGGGCCGGAGATCGTTGACGGTCATGGGCACCCGGGTGATAGGGTCCACGCCGGACTGTTCGACGTATTTGATGATTCCGATACGATCGAAGCTGGTGCCGCTGGGTGTGATGACGGGATCATGCATGATCTCAAAAGTGATACCATCAACGAGGTAATCGGGCACAACCTGTAGCAAATCATAAGATACCATCCCCCACAAGGAACACTCTCCCCCAAGGACAACCACTTACCCTCTCCTGGATATCTCCATTGGACGCAATGCGGAACGCCTCCCGGACATTTTGGATATTCTTCTCCGCATCCGCACGGAGCGCCTTCTGATCCTCCACGAACCCCGTCTGTCCAATCTCGCCCTTGTCCAGTTTCGCCTGTAGCTCCGCAAGCTCTCTGTTGAGATCGGCCTCAATCAGCGACTCCACCGTCGCCAGAGTATCATTCATCTCCCGCAGCCGGGCAGTCTCCTTCGCAGCCCAGATCTGCTGCTTGGCCCGCAGGACCGTCTTGGACAGGTTCTCCGTCTGCGCGCTCTTGGCGGCTAGACTTGCTCGGTAGGCATCGATGGCTACCTCGTACGCCTCCTGCGGGCGCCCGAGGCCCAGGAGCGCCTGCGCGAGGTACCAGCAGCTCTTGTGGCTCTGGGGGTTCTTGGAGCCGTACAGCTCAATCGCCGTGCGCGCGTCGTGTTCCACGCCTGCCCATTTCTCCAGCCTTATCCGGGTGAGGGCACGGTTCGTGAAAAAGGTGGGTTCGCGCGGGTTCTTCTGGATACTGCCAATTCACAAAAGTCAGATCTGCTCGGCCGTGACATGGGCGACGGGGGTAATCACGCTTGAGAGTAGAGCTCCTCCGCACCATTATAGTCGCCTTCCTTGAAGAGCTGGTTGCCCTTCTCTTTTAGTTCGAAGGACATGCCGGGTGATCGGATATCACAAATTGATGAAGCGATAGAGTCAATGACTCGGTGAATTGTGATCAGTCAACGCACCTAGACGGACACCGATCACGGTGGGGCCGCTCTTCAGACTCTTGTATCGACTGCTCCACAGGCACACGCACGTTGGTCCCGGAGATTTAGAGTAACCGAAAAATGATCGAGCGGATGCAATCGATAAATCAATAGACTGTGAACAATGAGCCGATTTGCATAGTCCGGGGTATCCTGTGGTGAAGTCTATTCGGCGGATCCAGGCCCACGAAAATCCAGGAGTGATGCCTCACGCTGGAGACGAGGAGCAGGCTGCGGTTATCCATTCCTTATAATAATTATGGATGCTGGACTTGATGTCTGGTTGTCAGTCATTGTGCAAATGCATCGAAGCCGATGGATCCCCGCGGAATCATCGAGCGGAATGGCTGACTCAGCCGGTATACTGAAGCATCAGATTGCTTACTTGTGTGGACCTACAAGAGTATGTACGAAAAGAAATTCCCCAAAAATTAATTCACATCTATTCTGTAAATATCTTTTATCAACAGGGGAAAGATAGTTCGATGGACATCGGACGGGATGTCGGCCTGCCAATTCATCCCAACCAGTCCTGGTATCATTGATTCGCTGGATAACATCAAACAAAGATTATGTGTGTATACACGTATAAATCGGTCCAACCGACGGTTTATATATGCGAAGGAAGATATGGCTGTTCGTCACCAATTGACGGCTGCACGAGCCAATCCTCAAATTGAACCGTCTACTGAGCAGCAGCAAATTCCCGCTCGTAGTCGGTGATGGCCTGGACCTTGGCGGCAGAGGCGCTCTTGGGGTCGAAGCGGTAGGTGAGCCATTCGTTGGCGAGCTTCTTGGCCAGCTCGATGCCAACGACGCGCTGGCCGAAGCAGAGGACCTGCGCGTCGTTGCTGAGGATGGAGCGCTCCACGGAGAAGGAGTCGTGAGCGGTCACGGCGCGGATGCCGGGGACCTTATTGGCGGCGATGGCGACACCCAGACCGGTGCCGCAGATGAAGAGACCGCGATCTGCCTTGCCCTCCTTGATGAGTTTGGCGCCGGCGACGGCAGGATGAGGATAGGCGGTCTTGTCGGAGGTCGAGTTGACGCCGACGTCAGTGATGGACTCGACCAGGGGGTTCTTCTCCAGGGCGGCCTTGATGGTCTCCTTGTAGGGGTGGCCGGCCTCGTCACAGGCCATAACAATGCGGAGGGGCTTCAGATCGGTAGACATGATGACAAAGTAGAAGCCAGAAGGAGAAGGAAAGTGGAATGTGTGGATATAGAGATTGAGAGACGCAGATGTACGGCGTAGATCCGATGAAAGGAATCCACTTGAACGATGACAAAAGGGGATGCAGACGCCTTTTATATCTCTGTCCTGAGAGCTTTTGCTGGTGCTTTTACACCTCCATTCTCGGCCGCAACAGTATCTGGGGGCGCCAGTGGAGACTGTCCCGTGCATTGGGTGGGTGCTGAACTTAGTCGGGTCGAGTCAGTTGGACTATTGACTCTTGCCTGCACGACATCTGCGGCGATTGTCTTTTCTGATAGACGGCCTCATAGGATGATGTAGGATGGAAACCCCCACAATCCGAGTGTCAGACGCATTGGTAGAGATGCCATGGACCGTGGTGGAGGATGGAACGCTTTCGATGCCCCGCAGTGGCGCCATATCCGGTAGGACGGATTACTATGGATATCGATGCATTATTGTCGGTATTATTATCCACTACAAATAAAAGAGCAGTTCATTCAATGTCGAGCGTGTCTCGGATGATTTAGGATAAATCCTGCAACGTCCACAGCGGATAGTTGTATAGCATGAGAGTTTGTACCGTCCTGCAGTATGACGCCAGCCCAGAAACACCGCCTTCAACACAGCTGATCTTCATTATCTTGACTCTGAGAGGTAAGTATATCAGGATGCCGAGTGGATCTTGTTTGAGGGTGAGGAACCAGTGACGGACAGATTGGCCCTGGCTAGAGTGTCGTCTATCCATGCTCGGACACAGGAGACTTTGGTGCTGAGTTGGCTTGAAAAGTATGACGGTTTAGTATGCTTATCCTGCTTCATGCTGCCAGGCATGACACTCCTGTCCATCTGTTCTCGTGCAATTCTTGGGAAACAGTTCTTCCATCCGCCCGGTGTTGTCTTAAAATCGGAAACTGACTCCTTGGGATCTAGGCAAAGAAACCACGGCTTAGAGTAGTGGACAGTGAGTCTGTTGTACCCCGGAATACCTATTCTGGGGTTCCATAGAAACCCTTCTGGAGTGGTCTAGTGCTAGGCTAGTATTAGGGACCCACATACATAGATGCCATGCCAGAAAGAGAGGTATTTATGTCCAGTATCAAAAAGTTGATTTACTGCTGCCCCTTCCTCTCATAACTTAACCAGGTCACAGGTACTTTGTGATCGACAGCGGGACAACACACCGCGCAATAACATCATATCAGAAAAGCACATGATGGACACAGGCTACTATGTATATATCAAAAAGGACAGTCGCGGCTTCATGAGCTGCTACTCGATGCTCCACTCCCCAACCCACTTTCATAGTATTTCAACTCGATAGATTCGGCTTGCTGCTCTTGGCCAAGCGCGTATTATCCATTCGTCAGTTACTTAACATCCAATAATGAAGAGGCCCCAAGCGGCTCCTCGGGATGGCTTCACCCTAACAATATAGGTGCATATTCCAGGATCCATATCCATCTCATTCCGTTTCTTTCCATCATTGTCCAGCTATCCAGGGGAGGAATTTTGGAGCCTAAGCTTAATACATGGACGTATCAAGGAGGTGTACCGAGGTTGTAATCCCCGCATAACCGTACAGGATATCCCAAACAAGCCTCCCGTACAGCCACAGCTTCGAGGCATCGGAGTTGCGCCGATTTTGGAGCAGACAAGCATCCCATGACTAGCAGATATTGATGAGACTCAGATTTAGATCTTTTGTTTTCCCTGTCAGTCCGTCAACACTTTCCTTGTGTTGAGAGGTGTCAGTCCTGAAACACATGCTACTAGCGATGCCGATGAATCAGTGACATCACCAGATGAGACACTGCATAATTATTTCTCATTAACAATCCATCCCTAGAGGTATGTCAAACAACGAGGAGGGACATTCCTGTCATACCTCAATATTGACTCACCTCAATGGCAGCCAGATCGTACCTATCAGACCTTATCCAACGGGTGTATCTGAGCTCTCATCCTGCCTTCGCTACCAGTCGCTAAGTCAACAGCTGAAGTCTGCAAGCAACAGAGCACAATCCTCAACCCCAACTATCAATACCAGAGACAATACAATGGCCACCACAAAGCCAACCTTCCCTCCCCTCCCCAAAACCCTCCTCATCATCTCCCTCAAAATGTACTTCACCCCCGACCGCACCCTCTCCTACCTACGCGACCTCCTAGCCCCGAGAAACAAAATTGTCCTCCCCCAAAACCGCTCCAGACTCCTCCTAGCCCTCATCCCCGATTATCTCACGATCTACCCCTGCGCCCAGATCATCAAAGACTGGGCCGCCGGCTCCCAATTTCCCTCCGACTTCGACCCCGAGCCACCTTTCCTCCTCGGCGCCCAGGACTGCTTCTGGGAGCCCGCAGGCGCCTATACAGGCGAGGTCTCCCCCGCCTCGCTGCGTTCGCTGGGAGTCCGGCTTGTCGAGCTGGGTCACGCCGAGCGCCGGGCTCTCTTCGGCGAGACGGACGAGCAGATTGCGCGTAAGGCGGCTGCTGCTGTTGACCAGGGACTCATCCCCCTCGTTTGCATAGGGGAGGTTACCGCGCCGGGGGCGATCGCGTCAGAGGCGGTGGGGCTGGCGGTGCGTGAGTGTGCGGTGCAGATGCGCGCAGTGCTGGGTGCAATTCCCGCTGCGGCACCGGTTATCTTTGCGTATGAGCCTGTTTGGGCCATTGGGAAAGCGAAACCTGCTGGGGTGGACCATGTTGCGGCTGTGGTGGAGGGGATAAGGGCGGTGATTGGGGAGCGGGAGGGGGAGGTGAGGGTGTTGTATGGGGGGAGCGCGGGGCCGGGGTTGTGG